CGCCACCGCCCAGGCCGCCCGCGCCATCGAGAACGTCCACGTCACCCTGGGGGTGCTGGAGGAGGTGACAAGTCACCTCAGGGCCCTGGTGGACGCCGTCACCCAGGACCAGGAGGTGGCCCGGGGCTTCCCCACCAGCACCCAGGCCTTGAGGGACGCCGTGGTGGCCCTGGGGGCGGTGGTGGGGGACAAGGAGATGATGGAGAAGTTGACCAGGGTGGTGGAGGCTCTGCCGGGGGACAAGCAGGGACAGATGGGGACACTGGGAGGGTCCGGTTTGTTCTGAGGACACCTCAGTGTCCCTCCCCCATCCTGGGAACACCCTGTCCCATCTGGGGACACCAGGATGTCCCTTCCCCATCCTGACGACACTGGGATGTCTCCTGTCCCACCTGAGGACACCTGGCTGTCCCTCCTTCTAGGGGTACCAGGATGCCCCGTCCCACCTGGGGACATGGAGGGTGTCCCCTTCGATGGCCAAGGACACTAGGGACAGGTTGGTGACACTGTCCCCTGTCACCCCAATAAACCTCAGGGACAAGCTGAGCCACCAACCTGTCACTGGGGGTTGGGGACACAGCAGGGACATGGGGACACCAGGGGAAAGGGACATCTCCACTCCACTCAAAGGACACCAGGAGGGGGTGTCCCCGAGCCATCCCTGTCAAAGGGCTCAGGACTGTCCCCAGTGTCCCCAGGGCTGGATGTCCCCAAGTCATGGGGGACACGGTGAGGACACACTGGGGACATCACTGGGGCTGTGTTGGGGACATCTCTGAGGCCACCTTGTCCCACATGTTGGGGACACTCCAGGGACATCCCCAGGGCCAGCACTGGGGACACCATTGAGGACACACTGGGGACACTGAGGCCATCACTGGGGGACATACTGGGGATGTGCCAGAGCCACCACTGGGGACACGTTGAGGACATCGGGGCCATGGGAGGGGATGTTGAAGGTTGCAGGTGGCCACGTGGGGACATCAAGGGGGGACATGGGGCTGCTTTGAGGGACATCGGGGGCTGTGGGAACATCGAGGGACATTGAGACATTTTGGGGGGCATCAGGGGACACCAAGGGCCGTGGGTGGCCGTGCTGGGTCCTGCTGGGGACATCGAGAGGGGACATCAGTGGCCATGGGGCTGCCTTGGAGTCAGTGGGGGACACCAAGGGTCTTGGGACCCTGCTGGGGACACTGGGGGTCATGCAGTCCTGTTTGGGACACTGTGAGGACACTGGGGGTGGTGGGGTCGGTCCTGCTGGGGACACTGGGGGTCGTGGGGTCCTGTTTGGGACACTGTGGGGACACTGGG